GTCTTCATACAGAATTTTTACCTACTCACAGCTGTACCTTGTGCCAATTTGACAAACCTTAATTCTACAAAGTTTTTTAACATTTTGTGTTTCAATTATTCCATTTTAGCTTCCAACCCGTGTGCTGCTAACGAGGGCAGGGGTCCCTGTTCCCACATGTGTCTGATCAATCACAACAGAAGTGCTGCCTGTGCCTGTCCCCACCTGATGAAACTGTCTTCAGACAAAAAAACATGTTATGGTAAGYTTTCCTCCCACAGCCTGACAATTGCATTGATTTTAGAATCAATGGACAAATTAATCTTAAAAAAAAAAAATTAAAATATATAAAAAAATCTCTACAGTTGTTTTTAATGATGTATTTTAAAGGAGCATCTACTTTTTGAGAATCAATGACTTATTCTAACAGTTGAGGTCTGTGGTGCTTTGATATTTGCTGCCACAGCCTTTTCTTTATGCTGTTGGTGCGTGGGATATGCTCATAAAACTTATCTCTRCAAAACAGAAAGCTTTGTACTGAAAAGTGCATCATCCCAACATTCTGAGTCAGGTAAGCTAAATAACAAAAAGGGACTTAATAGCTTAAATCTCTACCTGTTCTAGAGTTGTCTTAGTTTAATTTTCAAGGATTAAAAAACAAAGAGTAAATATTAGAAGTGCATCCTTGCAGGGGAGTTTTATTAAAAAAAAAAAAAAAAAAGCAATACACACTTCTAAGCTCTAAAAGCCCTTGAAATGTCAAATAATTGGGTGTATTATCTATAAAACCTTGTACTAAATTGCTCTTTTCAGTATTGACGAATAATGTTCAGGAAATTAAAAAAAAAACTATTTTGTCATGTCAAGGATATTGCAGGGGAAAAAAGTGACTTTTGCTGCTCATTTGCAGGCATTTGCTCCAATCTTTCAGACTTTTGAGATTAAAGTCAAAGCAGAGCTCTCTTTTTAATGTATGTCCTTTTTCACTAGTGAAGGTGTAAATTAGATCAACCAATTTGCTCTTTYTGTTCCTTTTTGTTGCCTTTCACTGCTTCCACACACATTTGCTGTTTGCAAAACTTCCCTATTGCAGTGAATCTCTATCACCCTGAGACACCAAATTTTTAAATCTGCTGTGATGGGCAGGTGAAACAGAATTTCTTTGAGTGGCCTAAGGGTAAATTTTTTAAAATAACACTTTTAACATTTTTTTTTCTTACATATTTGTAAGAACTCCTTTTTTTTAGCAGTGTGCTAACAATGTCCAGCATCCAGAATTCTTGTAGTTTCCCTGTGATTTTTATGCTCTGTAACATCATCTCTCAAGTTTCACTAGGCTGCAGTTTTTTTGGAGATGTTTAGTCACTCATATAAATGTCATTTACACCTTTSTGAAATGAAAGACTTTGATTTCTGTAGAGAATCTGTGAAGAGGATGAGAAATGATGTTTTCCCTTTTTCTAACAGAAAGAAAGAAGTTTCTTCTTTATGCAAGGCGTTCAGAAATAAGAGGGGTGGACATYGAGAACCCATATTTCAACTTCATCACAGCCTTCACTGTTCCTGACATTGATGATGTGACAGTCATTGATTTTGATGCCATTGAGGAACGTTTATACTGGACTGATGTGAAAACTCAGACCATCAAACGTGCCTTCATTAATGGGACTGGCCTAGAAACCATTATTTCAAGAGGTAAATAGCATAGCATTGAAGGAAAAATTAATTCTAGGTAAAAGCGTGTTATGGCTGTGCTAAAACATGAGCATGCGAGTTCTTGGTATTTGTACCTTGCACTGGTATTGGATAATTGATTAAAATAATAAGCAAGCAGMATTTTCTTTAGGATTCTAATTCATTTTATTGATTGATAATTTAGTTTTATGTAAACAAATTGGGATGTAATTTCACATTGATTTTGTGTAGGAAAAAARGAAACTAGTGTCTTCAGGGGAAGGAAGAAAAAATAAAGGAAAAAACAGGAGGAGCACAGGACCCTGACACAGCTTTGCAATGAAGAATTTCCTATGTYCTTTGGCTACCTCTGTTGACCTAGCAAAGAAATTTGCTCTGTCAGGGTTATTTTTTTCTCTTTCTAAAAGATCTAAAATATTTAGATCCTTTAACTTCGGCACCATGGATGAATCACACAGCATGGCAGCTTTGTAATTTTGGTGATTGTAATGTGGGTTTTTTCCTATACAGAATATGCACGTAAGTACAAAACTTAATGAATATAAAGTCTATATCTGATTGCTTCAACCCTGTTTCAGTAACTCTGGTATTGAAGTGAAAACCATTTGTTGTCCTTGGTAACATTTGGTTTTTGTTTCCAACACCTGTCAGTTCCTCTCCTGGCAGCACGTGTGGTTCTCCTGCTTTGTTATGTACCTACCTGCTTGAAAATAGGAAAAACTGAATGTGAAAGCAAATTTTGCCAACTCTGGTTCCCCAGCTGTTAAACAAATGTTTGGTGGGCAAGAAAAGAAATAGCTCAATTGATCAGACCTTTTCTGACGTGGGGAACAAATAAAGCAAACAATTTATTATCTGGGGACTTCAGAAAATAAGTAATTAAAGCTCTGCCCCTTGTATCATGTTAGATGATAAAGTTCCGTGTTAGCACATTTTGGGAAATGTTTGGACAAATATGACAATATACCCATTTTGCTGTGTATATTGTTGAATTCATTTATTATGTGTGGCTATATATTCTTTTTCCCCCCTGCTCTCTCAGAGACAACTTTACTAACAATTAGATTTTTTTTCAGTCCCAATAATGAGAACAAGGCTTAGAATGCCTCCTAGAGATCTTTATATCACGTATTCAGGTGCCCAACAGAGGGACTTGTTTCTYGCTTCTTTCAAATAGTAGTAGAATAGAAATATTGTTTGTTATAGAAAAAATCACAGAACTTGTCAAGCAACTTAATGAAACCAAAAGAAATATACTATCTGTGAGTGTTTATCAGCGTTCTTTCATATTCCTTTTATTATGCTAGTTGCTGTGGTGGCGTTTTTGTGTTTGGGTTGGTTTTTTTTTTGTTCTAGATGTAACTTTTATATAATAAGTTTGAGGAAAATTACAATGTTCTGGCACATCAAAACATTGTAAAAACTACTTATTATGTGTAAACTATCTCATTTGCTTACAGTTACATTTTTATACTTCTTATAAGAATATAAGAAGCTTTGTAAACATGTACTGGTGGGATTCTCATTGGGTGAAGCCTTATGCCAGAGTCACAAAGATGCCAAGTTGTAGTTTAATCTTTTTATGAGTATGAAATGCTTATTTTCTAGTTCTTCCAACCAAAAAAAAAAAAAACCCAAAAAAAAACCACAAGGGCAGGGGATCAATTTAAAATGGGTCAAGGGCTGTGTTTGGTGTCCTTTGCTGCATTCTGTGCAGCTGGCAAACTTCCCAGTGCCCAATCACTGCTCAACCTTATGGCCGTGCAGACCAGKCCACAGCACATCCTGTCAGTCTGTCAAGGACAATAATTCTGTCAGAGGAAATTGCCATGTTGGGTTGTCAGAAGTTGTGTGTAAACGATGAACTAGAATGAAATCACGAAATCTCCCTTGGCCTGGTTCCTTCTCGAAAAGATGCCAACCCACATGAACCAGCTTTGTCTCAAGGCATGTTGGTGTCTAGAAATGGTGCAGTGACTTTACACCCAGTGTTTTAGGATTGACATTGCTTTTAATGTCTTGCTGAGGAGCTCCTCACATTTAGAGACCCTCTGAAGTTATCAAATCCATCCTATCATACTCCCATTTTGCTGCCCTGGTAACAGTGGTGCTGTGTGTTAACCCTGAGCCCCCCACAGCTGCTCATTCACTCCCCACACTGAGATGGGGAAGAGAATCGGAAGGGTAAAAGTGGGAAAAGTCATAGGGTTTGATAAGAAATTTAATAGGAAWAGTGAAAGCTATGTGCACCAGCAAAGCAAAACAAAGAATTCATTCAATGCTTCTCAGCTTCAAGGCTGAGAGATTTTTTTGCCATATCCAGGGAGTCAGGGGAGGAATTTGGAGTTTTCAAAGCCTTCAAAAATAAAACCAGAAATTTGTTTCAGTGACATAGCTACTTACAAGCTACAGAACTATGCTATAGACCAGTGATTTAATTCAGATCATCTGTACTCAACCTTCCTGGTGCTGAAGTAGGAAGGAGGCTTTTAAATTTCAGCGTAGCATTGTTTTAGAAAGTCACTGAGCAATAAATGCTTTCTGAAGTAGAAAAATACAAAACAGAAGTTCAGCATCTTTGAGTATTATTTTTGAACAGTAGGTTTTATGCTGTGAATATCCAGTGTGATTTTCATGTTCTTACTGTATGTGTATCAGGCCCAGGATGAAAAATAAAGATTATTAATTCTTGGCAACTAGTTTATAAATACATCTGAATAGAATATTGTATTATCAACTAACTGTAGAATATTTTTTTTTCCCTAAGACTGACAATAATCCAGAAAGAAAATCAAAATAACTGCTTTCCTTTTTTGCAGATATTCAGAGTATCAGAGGKCTTGCAGTGGATTGGATATCACGTAATTTATATTGGATTAGCTCAGAATTTGACGAAACACAAATTAACGTGGCACATTTAGATGGCTCCTTGAAAACCTCAATCATCCATGGAATTGATAAACCCCAGTGTCTTGCTGTTCACCCAGTAAAAGGGTAAGGTGTCCACGGTTGTAATAAATAAACTGCAGTAAAGCTCATCAGAAGGTGATTCTTCACTGATATTTCAACTTGGGCCATTCTGTTTTCTTTCAAACTCAAAGCAGAAAGCCTRAATTTGAACTTAATATACTTCTATCTTTAGAAAGCTGCTGATTMAATCATGTAATYATTTTTGTGCATTTGTCTCCTRAACTGATGAGTRTTTTCTCTGATGACTTATTAATAAYACCAGGTACACAAAGCAATATTGTAAATATGTTCATTTTCTTCTTCAGTAAACTGTACTGGACGGATGGTAACACGATCAACATGGCAAACATGGATGGCAGCAACAGCAAAATACTCTTTCAGAATCAAAAAGATCCCGTTGGTAAATACCTTTTTTCCTCTGTTTCTCTTTTTGACTGATTTATTATTGACATGATCTTGAGYCAGTATTTAAGTGTACAATGATATTTTTCATCTTCAGTACAACAGCGATAAAAACAGGCATAAATACATGAACAACACTTGTGTTCCTGTTGTGTTTCACAATTTTTTTGGCCCATTCTAACTGAAATCTACTGTAGCCTTAGTGGGGTATTATTAACTTCTAGGATTACAATAAACTGAAGGAGAACCCATCTGTATTTCTCAGTTTTTATATCATGGTTTAAAAATGTGAAGATGAAAGCTTTAATAAGTTTTGGAAATAAGTGAGAGGGTGCTTTGACTGCAAATGTGGATCCTTTCTCCCCAGAATCTCAGCTGCATGATCAAAAGATAAATTGGCCCTTAACTTTTCACACAGAGAAAAAGGGAACAGTCAAAGCATACATCTCATGTCATGACTTAGCCTCAGTTTTGTTATTTGGAAATTCATATAGTTGAGGATAAATTATGGCACTGCAGAAAAGAAAAAAAAAAGCTCTTTCTATGTGTATATTTTGTTTTGTTCAAATCTCCTTCGGTAGAAAATTTCATGTTTTAGGGAGTTAAAATGGTTAAGCCCTGTTAATGGCCCATCAATAAAGTGATTATCTTTTAAAGCATTTATTTTTTTTATAACTGAATGCATTARGCAAACAGAAGTGGAAGTGAATTAAAGAATTCAATCAATCTGACATAAGAGCAACATGACATGCATTTTACACCCTACAYTCAATGAATTTCATTGAAATTACTTGATAACTGTTTTACCATTGATATGATTATCTGTCTATCCACTTGAAGAGACAATTACCTTTTTATCTGGAGAAGAAAGAGTTGTAAACCCAGTAATTTTAAGGTGAAGAATGAGCACTTTTACTAATATTAGAACAACATTAAGAAGGATGGTTGYGTGCAACATTTTGCACTGAATATCTTATGATCACAGGTCACAAGGTCCTGCACTGCAGCACTTAAGGTTTTTGTATGGATTTTTCTCTTAAGTGTCAGTGGAACCTCTGAACCAAATTAAAAGGCTTTKTTTGCAAATCCTTATGGGCAAGTGGAACAATTTGTTTTCCTTCTGTAGTATCAGATTAATTTGTAACACCCTTGAGATACTCTAATAAATATTTGAAGTTGGACATATTCTAGGTTGAAGGTTCTTATTGCATAAAAATGAGATATAAGATATGTATGTAAAATGTAGAATATGTAATTTTTAAAAAGGTGTACRTACAGCTTCTTTACAAAAGGGGAAAAAA